CATTGACTTGGTATATCTACAAGTCCTTGGCCAGCACTCTTCCCATTACAAGGCAGAGTTCAGAAATTCCAGGAGCTGTGCACGGTTCCGGTCTCTCTGTAGAGCAGAGAAGCAGAGGCAGCAGTTGAACAGCTGAACAGACTCAGGGGAGCAAGGCTGCAGATCCCTGCTTTCTGTAGGGCTTTCACACTCGCACAGCTGGATCTAACTAGCTATCAGTTGAGTGTGAGTGCCCGGGGGAAGCACCAGGCAATGGGTCCTGGGGAGAGATGCCCTCAGAGACAAGTTGTCACTGTCACTATTTCATGATACATTTTCTAAGTGGCTCCCTGCAGAGGCTCCACTGGGCTGTAATCACGTAGCTCACAGCTCAGGAGGGAACTCACAAGCGGAATAGATGCTATTCTCTAGTGTCTGAGGCCACTTTCACTGCACACACAGCAAGTCTTGTGCTTTGGGAAGTATAATTGTTTTTTCTGTGCATATAGAGCAGTTTGCAGCATAACAGAACACTGAATTTAGGTTATTTTCTTCACGTTAAGAGATGGCCCAAGCAGTCAAAACACTTGTTTCTGTGGGTTTTTTTATAAAAAAATATCGCATCTTTAAATATTGGAAAGAATGGATGCTGTTCAATTCAGCAAGAACACAGGCACCAATCAAAAAAGGACCAACATCAAATATTTGATGTCAAATATCATAATGAGAAGGTTAGTAGGAGAGAACTGACAAGCATTCAGCATAATTTAACACAAACTTCAGTGCCCCAGAAAGAAGATAATGTATTTTCAATCAAATTTAACTTGGAATGCTCATGTCTGCTTCAGTAGCTATAGAATGAATTGTTATGGCTGAACCAGAATCTGCCAAGCTGGATATACCTCAACGAAGTAGAACTTCTAACACACATTGACCAGCACCAGAGCCCTCTGCAGGCCACTCTAAGGTGCAGAAACTGTTGAAAAGGGTGAAGGTATTATTTAAGCGCTGAGTCCAAACACCCACAGCAATAGCACAATATCAGTTTTCCTGGGTATCTCAGCAAAAACATTTGACTGCTTTGAGAGACTGCATGGGCATGTGGTCCTAATAATACTCTTGTTTTTGTTTTTTTTTTTTTATTTCCTCTCTAAATAATGGCTAGTCCTGCATGTGTTAGAAAAATACAGCAAAGCAGCAATTACCACAAATGATCACAAGAGACTGAAAGAAGATGAGTACAATTAAAAACTGTAAATTATATCAAGAGAAAGCTATGAATCAGCTAACCATTAGGGGCCTGAAATTTTAAGAACCTGCACCAGCACCCCTTAGTTTACCTACTCATGCCTGACTATTCCAAGCCCACTGATAACACAAAACCTGCCAAAAGAATGAATTAAAATGCCTCAGATGGAATCACAGCCACACTAAAAGCTACACTCAATTTACAACCCCCAACTGCAAGACCCACTTTTCTACAAAAGACAGTACTATTGCAAAAATATTAAAAGATATGGTATTTTCTCTTAGGAATATATAGACTACCTTAACTCTTACCTCTATATCTTCCTTAGTCTTCTTAATTTTCATCTTAATTTTCTTTCCTGTTATCATGCTGTAGTTTTCATTCTTCTTTTTGTTTTTGAAGAACTAAATTGAGATCACACATTAAAAAGACATAAGCTTTGCTTTATTTTGTAATGTTACAAATCTCAAGTAAAACCACAGATGATAATCTTTTATATTTCCAAAACAATATAGACAGATTTCTATCTGTTTATGACAAAACTGGTGACGTTATACATATTTTTATTACAGGACAGATAAAGTATTTAGATGAGAAATATAATGGGGCTTCAGATTCGCAAAAGCATACCTTGGAAAGCTGGACAGGTCCTGTTTTCTCTCTCTTTTTCTTCTTTTCTTTCTTTTTCTTCATTTTGTTCTCTTTTTTCCTTTTCTACAATAGTAAGACATACATTCTTAGGCTTACAGACTCAAAAGGGCAAAATAAACCAAATTCACAAGTATCTCTCAAGGCCCTGACTAGTCAAGACAGCCCTTCTGTTTGCCCTTACCCCTGCCAGACAGGGGAAGTACATGAAGTAACACAGCAGGGTTAGCAACCCTTGGGACCCTGAGAAACAGAAACGGTCTGATTCCCTGTTTTCTCTCGTTTAATGTAACCCCAACATATAAAATCACTGAACAGAAGGTCCTGATAAAATGAAATAGAAAAATTACTACAGCAAGAATCTACTACCTGCTTCTCTCACTGACTAAAAATCGTTTTTTCTGAATAATTCTATAATGTTACCAAAACTCCCCCCTTCTCTTTTCTTCAGAGGCTACTCTGAACTCTAGCTGGACCAGCAATGACTGGAAGAAGTAACTTTTAAATTATTTCCATTTTTGCATAAAGTCAAGTAAATGCCAACCTTACAGTTCAGCTACCATAACCCTAAAATCATGATTCAGATTTACAGAGCCACAGACAACAGCATTATGTCCCACATGACCTTTAAGGTTATTGCAATATAAAGAATATTTCCTGTTTGTTAACTTCCTATTTCTCTTTGTAAAATGTTTACCTTTTTGTTGTGTTTTTCTTTTTTCCTTTTCTTTGATTTAGACTTAGGAGAATCTAAAGAAAAGAACAAACAACAAAATCAAATCCTCTAAGTTTAGCGTTCTTGAAAAAGGTATTTGGTTTTACAGATAAGGCATAGACAAATGTGAAACCTAAAAAGAAAATACCTTAATTTAGCTACATATATTGACAGCAGTTGAAACTAACACCGAGGAAAGCAACACATTAATTTACTGCCACTTACTGGTCTAACATGGAAACTGAAAATACCCGATTTACTGATTCTGCAGACATTCCAACTTCATGTGAGTCCTCAAAGGACTTAGCTTGAAATGCTAAGACCAAAGCAGGACTGAATAAAAAACCCTAACTCAGGTCTAAATAGGCTGGTGAAGTAGAAAAAGATCTGTGTTTTGAAAGTGTAACGAATAGAGTTTAAATGTATACAGAATATTGGTACAAAGTAACCTTTCTTTAAAAGGCAGTGGTTTTTTTTAAGTTATTTCAACTAACAAAAGAACATTGCAAACTGTATTTAAAGCGCCACCTTAACACAGCAACAGGAAAAGGTTATGAGAGAAACACTGAACGTGCAGTATTGGTATTCTGCACCATCCCTTTGTGGTAGTTTAGTCACATTTAAAACAAGCTTTAAATGTTTCCAGGAGTACTACCAAAACTGGTAAATCATGTGCACAGGCGGAGGTAGCTTACCTCTACTACTCGAAGAAGATGACCTTGATGAAGAGCGTGACGAGGAGGAAGAAGTGGATGTGCTGCTAGAAGACGATGTGGATGAAACAGAGGATGATCTGCTTCTACTGCGTTTTCGTTTCCTTTTTTCTTTTCCTTTGGACAGCACAAGGTAACAGTGACAAGCATGCTAGTAACTGTGGTCTACAAAAATGACTCTTCACAGAACTTAAACATAGTGAGCCCCTACGCGCCACGGCCTTATTACCATTAGCGAGTGACCATGCCCAGTGTCGGGGGCTGACTTGGTGACTGACACAGAGCATCACAACAGACCAGCAGTGCTTACCTCGGACCTTCAGCCCTTCTTCTGAAGTTGCACACAGCGTCCTACTTTTTTCATCCTTGCCGTTATCCATATCTAGTCAAGAGGCAAAAATACATTCAATAACGTAATTTCCAAAAGATTCTGGAAAGGTGTGGGGGAGGGCGGGAATGGCAGTGCGGAGAAACCGAGGAAACCTGCGAACAAGCCTGAGGGCAGCCCCTCAGAATCACAGAACGGGTTTGGTTGGAAGGGACCACAGCGGGTCAACCTCCCTGCCCAAGCAGGGTCGTCCCTGAGCACATGGCACAGGACCACGTCCCCCCTCCCCTCACACTGCACCACCCTGCGGGGGGGCCGCGCCTTCAGCCGCGTCCTCTCGCATCAAGAACCGGAGGCCAATCCCCTTGTTTTCGTGCCGCCGCCAGCGCGGTCGCAAAGGCGATTTCTCCCCCCATCCCCTCCGTGTCTGACTGACGATGGATCACGGGACGCGGCCGCGCAGGGAGCCCCGGAGGCCGCGCACCGCCCGCAGCCGCCGGAGAACCCCACCCCCGGCCCGCCCGACCCCGCCGGCCCCGACCTCCCCTGCCTGACCCACCTGGGCCGGGGACGGCGCCGCTCTCGCTCTGCCTCCCCGATGCGCTCCGCACCCGGCCCGGCCCGCCCGCCGACCCGGAAGGGCTGGAGCCACCGCCGCCGCTTCCTGCCCCTCGCACAGCAACGGGGGCAGGGGCGGACACAGTCCCCCGGCCCCTCTCCGGGCTCTACCCTGCCAAGGGTTGCGTGCCCCGTTTTAAAATACTATGTCCCCAAGCACGAAGCAATCACGGGATACTGAAACAGTTCCTGTTTCTGGTCTGAACCGAAACAAATCCAAACCCTGCTGAGCCCAAAACTGCTCCAAACAGAAGTAACATCCCGTTCTGATTGCAGCGGATCCTCAGACCGTCCGGTCTAGCTTAGAATTCACTGAACTTCTATCTTTACGATATTCAAGCATAAACAAAAATATCTACGAAATACATTGATTCTTAATCTAAAGAAGTGTTTTTGCTTCATTATAAACAAATCATTATAAACAAATATACCGTACTGCACATCCTTGTAAAAAGTCTCCCTAAATCCAGGCAAAATGAGTATTAGGCCACACTCACTCCAGAAGGATGGTAAAATTATTTATTCTTACATTATTTTATGTACACAGTGAAGACATTTGGCTAGAAAAATGCCTGCATTGTAGTAAGAGATATTCAAACAACTAGAAACTGTCAATAAATACATTAGAAACATACTGTATGCTGATGTAGAAATACCCTAAGCTCTTTTGGTTACTTATCCAGTACAATATTATTGAAAAGGTTTTTGGTATTTTTTCCATGCAACATCAAAATTCTTCCTAAGAATTCATGCTATACAACATATTTTTTTTCTTTATTAGGAATGGGATGAAATTTAAAATCCTGTTTACAATTAGTAAAAAAAAAAAAAACAAAAAAAAAACACTGAAAATTTAAACATAAATCTCTCAATTACTGTAATAAAAAGAACCAATTTAAAGAAGGTCTTGTCTTTAAAAAACCCCAATTTTCTCAACTAATTCTATATAAAACAGGCAGTATTTCAAAAGGGATGTTTCCAACACCCAGGATGAATCATTTGTGCTTCAAAATTTTAAAAGGAATATCTGTGGCAAAAACCTAAACCCAACCAGTAGGTAGAGGAGAGATTGCAGTACAAACTGGCTAAAACCAAACATGCTTTCAAAATCTGTCCAGGAAAACACTAAACACATCCATGTCACTACGCTATCACCTACTCTAACAATTAGAAATGGAGTTTTAATAATACCTAGCTCTCTTCATGCTCAAACTTTTTCACAAACATTTAAATAGCCCTAACACTTCTGCAAGTATTATTACCCCCATTTTACGCTTGGGGTGGTGGAGGCGGAGAGGGCTGGGTATTTGCCAGGCTACAGACCCCATCCTTTCTATCATCTTGCCTCCCTTGCTTGTCCGAGCTCTTTATCACTTTCTGTATTTTACACTCAATGTACTGGGGAGTCCCAGAACACATGGTAGTACATTTCCATCAGTTAATAGTGGTTATTATGCAAGTTGTGTCACTTTGAAAGTTACATGATAAATATTGAAGTAATAATCGACATGAAATCCACATCTGAGGCTCAGGGCTGAATGCCCTGTCAAACAAAGCTTGCTCTTTCTGTAACAGTGCTCGGAACACGAGGTCTGATTCTTTATGCTGTACAGCTGAAATGACTCTTGAAGTCAATCATGGTGGTACAAAAGAATAAAATTTGTTCCTTGCCATCTGTCTCTGGGAACACGGAAAGCCCCTATGGTGGCTCAGTACGTCCTGACACTGTAAAACAAAAAGGACTTCTAGATGAAACAACGATTTCAGATGTGCTAGTCCACCATGAGGTATAGATTACTAAGGTCTCTTCCCTTCCACCCCCGAATCTGAAAATATTTGTGTCTGAGTTACATCCTGAAAACCACGTGGGAAAGCAAATGTCTAGCAATAAGATTGCAGATACAAAATACAGTATTTTGCCTTCATCTTAGTACCAAACCTTGAATTATTTTAGTTGATATCAACATCCCGCCCAGAGAGGGCATTTTTCATTTTGCCATATTTGCCCTCTTGATTTTTCTGTCTTATACCTTTCAGTCCAAGTCCCATTTTGATTTTTATCCTGCCTAGTTTACTCTTACTCTAAATCCATCTTATGTTCTTGCTGTCTCTTGATAAGCTTTTGAGCAATGAATAATGCTGTGGTGTTTCCCCACCTGATCTGTAAGAGACGAGAGATGCAAAATTCTGCCACTTGTAATAACAAAACGCCTGAGAATGCAAAATTACATCCCTGTTACAAGCACCCAAAACGTTTTAAAAAGGCACGTGTATTCTGTGTCAGTTGTTCCTCAGTGCCTGATCTTGGTGGTTTTAGTGCTTCTCCAATAAAGCCCCGTACATTGCACACATTCCCTTGCAGTATGGAAGGAACTTGGAATGAAAATTAAGATCTTCAGACAACACAGTCAGCAATTGTTACTGTGGCTGTGTGACCTTTAACAAACACTGGAGCTGCACTACCTGTGAGAACTGGGTTCTTACTGCAACCTCACTCCCTAATCCCTTTTCCCCCTTATTCCCCAAACATCCAAATTTCTAGGAGAGAGGAACAGTGCATGTTACGTGGGCTTTTTCCCAAGCAGATATCCAAAGCTCTTCCTGACTTTTGTAGAGCTTGTAGACCAGAAAACATCTCTTTTGCACAGATATGGAAGAAAAAGAACAGGAGTTTTGCCTCTTTTCCAACAGTGCAGCCAAGAGCTGGCAGGCTGGCTGAGTGCCCTGCTTCTGGCCATGTCCTGAGAAGTGAGAAGTGCCTGCAGCTTTTGGCTTCAGATGGGGACTGTGGATGTTTACCAGTAATGGAAATCAGTCCCAAGGCACTAGGCAGGAAAGGAAAGGACATAAGAAAGCTGTTGTGACCTGGATGTACTCTACACAGCTGAAAAAACAGGCTAAAAAAGTAAGAGGCATTGGTGCCTTCCTCTGGGCTTTCTGGAAAAACCAGAATTAAAACAAATTTTAAAAAATGCAAAATACTTGGCAAATGTTTTCCCTGCCTAACTGAAGCCATTCTCCCCTCTTCAAAAATCCAGGAGGTGGAGGGATCAACACACACTGATTCAAATTTGCTAATGTTGAAATGTTTCCACTGCAGACAGGTGAAATGCACTTGCATGTTTGGGCATGGCTTCAGTTCAGTGTGAGGGATGGAAGCCCACAGGCCTGCCTGGGCTCCAGGGAGGTTACTGGAGGAGTTTAATCTCCAAACACCAGTCTGGTGATGGGAGAAAAGCATTCCCCCCAGCCTGGGCTGAGCCAATCTGGACTGAATGCATGTTTGCATCAAACTGGACTTCTAGCTGCCTCAAAAACGCAGTCTTGAAAAAACGGTTAAAAAAGGAAAGGCTGATGCTTTGGCAATTCATTATCTCTTATGAGTCCAAAAGCTGTGAAACATTTTTAGTAGCTTGACTGGTGGCAATTCACTATTGCATGGCTGGTAGTCACCAAGAAAGCAGTTCTGAATGGTTAAAGCAGTCACATTGATTGGGAACACTTTTCACAATTCCTCTAGATCAGTTAAATCCACGACGACTTTCAGAAACAGAGTGTCATCTCTGATATAGGTGTTCTTTGTGTTCTCCAGGACGGTGTGCGGCACGAAGCGTGGACATCCAGAGGCGATATTCATTTCCCCATCTGGCCTTTTGAAACTGCTGCTGTTGGGGTCGGCTCTAAAGACTTCCACGATGTGATTTTTTTTCCCACTTTGGTCCAAAAGCATAAGTGTAACTTTTTGCTTGAAAGGCCACAGCAGCAGCGAGTCAAATTCCCCCCTCATCACTACAAAGTAGAGAGAGATGTGTGTTCCCTTCCCTGAGCCATCCCCGTTCAGGTAGGCTCTTGCACACAACCTGTACCCGCAGCGGCTGGTGTAAAAGGGCTGGCTGGCTATGGAGAGGACACGGCCTTCCACAGCTTCTTTTTTCTTCATCTTGTAGTCTGTGATTTTCCAGATTAATTTCCCGTTGTAGCACGTGCCTTCCAAAAGCTTAAATCGTTCTTCATTTTTATTGAGCTGTGCTTTGTGAATATTGATCTGGAGATCATGTTTGCTGGATTGATCTTCCAAAACAACTGAGAGAAGAGGAAACAAAAAAAGAAATAGAAAAACAAAACAAAACAAAACAAAACAAAGTAAAAAAAGAGAATGAAACATAAATAAAACTGTCTGAGAACCCAGACTCAAGGTGACAAAACTGAACTACCCAACTACTACTCAGGTCTGAGTACAGGCAATGAACTAGTGTTACTACAGCTGTTAACTTTTAAAATTGTAAGTGCAGCTGGTAGTTAAATAAGAAAAACTGGTAACTACAAACCAGATTAAAGGCCTGAATATGGATAGCACCATGGCCTGCATCACAGTGCACCAGCCAGACCAAGGCCAGTGCTCTGGCCCTGCAGTACCACAGGAATTCAGGAGACGTTGTGCATAAGGGGAAGGTGGGAGAACCCGGAGCACACCATCATGGTTTGGTCTTAGAATGCAAGAGGAAGGAAGCCCTTTCTAGTGAAGAGCTGCAACTGACTGACTGTAGCAGCATAGCCTCTACTTAGCCACCAGCAAATCATCAAAAAAACGCACCCCCCCCCCCCCCAAGAAAAGAACCCAAAGTGCTGACATACCCAAGCGCTGATCGTATGACTCCATCAGGGCAATCTTCTGTTTTACGTTTTCGATTGTGTCAAACAGGGGCCGCAAGTCTAATTTACTCTGCTGCTGGTTTGCCATCTGTATTAGCTGTTTCACTTGCAATTCCAGGCGTGCAGACTTATCCAGGTGACTGGCCAAAGCCTTCCCAGTTCATGCCATTGGAAAAAGGTGGGAAGTAGAAGTACAAGAGACATCCATAAAATCAGTCATTTTCTTTGAATTAAGATAATGAAGTCTTTAGTATGTCAGCAGTATCATCTATACAGTGCACTGAAAGTGCTCTGCTGGCTTAGGAACTTATCCCAGTGCTTTTTCATGATTAATTCAGCACATTACAGATTGAGAAGCCATCCCTCATTTGCACCCATTGATGTTGCATCACTTCAACCAACTAAATTATTCAAATTTATACCAGGTATTTGCCATGGGCACCTGGCCACAAGGATTTGTACAGTGCTTTTTTGCCCACATCAGGTAACCAAACATCTTTACTGATTAAAATGAAAAGACGATACCACAGTGTAAAAGAACGAGAGGGGCTTGTGGAGATTTGTTTTCGCCCTGCTATTAATGATAACTAGTACTGGATAAACATGTCAGGATAAAAGAAAGCAACTGGTAAAAATGGTAAAATCAATGGCTCACCTGTGTGCTTACCATCAAGTTGCTATTTTTACCAAACAGTTGTGTATACTGTCTGAATTCTTTCTCACACTTTTTAATGGCCTCTGCCAGCTGCTGGATTTTAATCTCTTTACATTCCAGGCTCTTATATAGGTCAGATATCTACAGATGGGAAAAGCAGAGTATAAATACTAAGGGACACCAAGCTATACAATAAAGACATCAAAACATAGGTGGCAGTGGAAAAGTTTACAATGCAAAGCCTCCAACTGAGCTAGATAGAGCACTACTAAATTCACAATTTGTGGATAAGCACTAGCAAGAACTGACCATAAGGTAAACTGACTCTTGAATAGATCTGTGTAGCTACAGGTGTAAAGAGGCTCATATCTCTCACCTCCATCCCTTCAGCTCTATAGTGGGATAATATATCCTTATATGCCCACATGTGCATGTGTGTTTCCGTGTGTATGTACATCTATTCATTTTCCCCTAGACTGAGGCCTAACCAGTAAAAGTGATGAGTCAGTGAGGGATACGAACTTCAAAACCAAGTTATAGCTCTTTGGGACACTTGTTTTTTTGCATAAACAAGCAAAGAGGAAGTCCACCATCAGTTTGGATGTATTCACCTTAGTAGGACTGGCATACACCCTGTGTCACCTGCTGGGAGCCGCAGGAGTGATCATGAGCAGAAAGGTGTTTGCAGCTGGCTCTGGTGCTGCCTCTATACAGAGCAGGTGACTTGGGCATGTAAAGGCTCCTTTCTGGAGCAACCTGACCAGCCAATGAAACTTTAAAAACTTTATCTCCAAACCTCATATCCACTGTAAACAGAGACCAAAAGCAAATGAGGTGGGCTTTGGCAACGAGCCTCCCACCGTGCCTGGTGGAGGAGAATATACGCGCCTGAGTACAGAGGGATTTCCACGTAACTGACTGACTTCACTAGAAGAGCTTATTCTGACTTCTGAGGTGTGCAAAGACCATAAAAACAGCCTTCTAAAATGTAGCTGAGCTAAATCAGGCAACAAATGTAGAATATAATATAATTCTCCAACTAGTCAAGAACCGCTGAAGAGTGATCATTAAACACGACTTACCTGTTCTTCCAATCGGGAGTTCTTGTCTAAAATCTGCAGCATGTGTTCCCTCAGGGCAGAGTTCTCATGTTCAGCAAGTTTCCCTCTTTTAACCTTAGTAAGGCAGAGGAGGAAATGAAAGAATCAAATAATAAGCCAATTTTTGAAGCTGTTAGTAAAAAATTTATTGATGAAGACATTTTGAATGTCTCCTCTGTGCTCTGCACGTGAGGGAATGGCAGTCCTGATTCTCTAGCACAACATCTTAGCCAATGCTAGAAATGACTGTGAAAGGACATAAAATGATTATTTTGATTAATGACTCTGACTGGCTTGGAAGACAAAGTCCAGTCCCAGTACAGACAAGGATCTGTAAAACAGTACCTTTGCAAGACATCCATACTGCTTATACGGGCAGTCCACTTCTGCCTCAGGGCACACAGCCTGGTGATTTTCAATCTGCATGTATTAACAAAGAAGTTTAGGATGAAAGAAATATTAAGTAATTTGATGCACTTACAAAATCTGAAAGCCTGCATCAGGGGTGAATAAAGGCCACTGTCATGACAACTGCAAACCACTTAAAGAGGAAAATGAATGTTCAGAGTCAATAAGCAAGATAGGTATTCTTCCACACTACAAAACACCAATGGCTTACAGTGACCAAATAACACACTTAAAAGATGGGAGATATATCCCTTTCAGAATCAAATGGAGAAAATACTTAGAACAATGAAATTTTACTGTCACATGCCAATGTGGTCTGCAATGCAGCTTTCAGTTTTCATAAATGCGTGTGATTTGCTGAATTGCAGTATATGAAAAATAATAGTACCTCTTTTTTCAGAATTATTTGTGAACAATTTTGGAGACAAGGCACAGGATAATTAGGACAGTCATCTGTTTCATGATTCTGGGGAAGAAGAAACAGAACAAGGCAATGGTTTGAATTTTTTGTAAAGTAATACACGTAGAGGAAGTTATGCAAAAGTAATCCCAAACATACATGTGCAAGCCACATATCACCTGGTTGTTCATAAGAGAGCATCAATAATTGGTATTATTTAAAGCATATTTATTATACTTTCTCCTTCAGCTACCCAACCAAAGTTTGTTTCAGGAGTTGTTAAGTACCACTGCAATGCTGGAAACTTTTCACTCAGTAACATCAAGAGGAAACACGGACTAGGGATTCCCAGGGAATGCTTCATAATCTTACCTTTATGTTAATGAACACCACATATGTATTACAGTACTGACACATTTCTTCTCGAAATTTACAGTGCTGGCTCAAGTGCTCTTTCAAGTCTTTTCGAAGAATTTGATCACAGCATCCTTCATTAGTGCATTGCACGCTTTCAAACAAACACTGCTGAAGATGCTCCTGCATCACACAACAGCAAATTAAACCCTAAAGTATTTCACTGCATCTCCAGTTACCCAGCAGACCCACAGAAACAGCTGGCAGAGTCCTTTCTATGACTTTCATTTCTATGACACTTTTCATTCAATTGATACATCAAAAAAAGGCCCAAATGGCCAGAATGACTTGGCAAGTTTCCTTGAATTAACCCTCACATGGTGCCTAAGCATACAGAATATGTACAGACACTGGATATACTAAAACTACATAAAGCAAATGGTTCTTATTAAAAAAAAATACAACCAAAGGCAAAACTGAACAAGGTAACAGCCATAATATTTGTTACTTATGGTGTATAGCTAAGTCATAATCTTTGTACTTAAACCAAATTGCTACAATAATAACTCTGAAGACGATGACTAGAATTTAGCTGATCATAAATACACAGAATTGTCATGAAAATCAAAGGCTTCAAAATCTGATCAAGGAAACTAACCTGATATCGTCCCAGAATTATTTTTGAATTGCAGTCAGGAGAGTTTTTGCAGAACACATGCAAATTGAGAACCTCTCTTTTACAGCAGTTGTCTTTGAATACCTGTAAAGGAAGCAAACCAGCCTTTGTAAGCAGTCACATAGGATGTTATAAATGATACAAAAGAGCAAAACAACACTATAGATTTCCTAAGCATGCAAGTGTAGACTCCATAATTGTGAGTATGGCTCTTGATAATTCATATTGAAAATTTATATTACAAATATAAATAAAACCATGGATGAATTTCTAATAAGCATAGGGCTTTCCCACCATATAGTTATTCCACAGACGCTGATCCATCCCACAGCCAGCAGGACTAGTAGCACAGGAGCTTTACAACCACTGTCAAAGCCTGCCTGTACCTAGAAGAAAGCAGCTGGACCTAGCAGGCCCTGAAGGCCATCCAGCTCTGTGCACACTCCACAATGTTCAAGCAGTGCAGCGTGCCTTTGGGATGGAGATGATGCTGAAACATCCTTTCTACTGTTCTCAGTTGCGCGAGCAGAAGCAAATTAAGCCCCTGGAGCAAACTTTCAGTTTTATTTAGAGACCTTCCTATAAGGAGCACTATAAATGTTGCACTGTTGTCATCAAAATTTGTGCAAAGTAGAAGGTGGCAAAGGAAAAACAAAAATCACGTGGACAGTCTGATTACAGCTTACTTTCAGGAGTATGACAGAAAGGAAGGAGACATTTGATTTCACTAGAAAATGCATTCTGACATGACCAAGTAGATAGTATACTTTTAAACCCTGGCATAAACATAAAGATAAATTAATCCATTACAGAAAAAAAAAAAAACACAAAAAAACCAAACCAAACCAAAAAACAACCAAACAGAACACCCTCCAACCAGAAAACAAAACAGACAAAACCCAAACAAAACAATCAAAACCAACAGTAGTTTGTAAAAAGGATGAATTTATCTTTTCTTCTAAAAGTCACCCAAAAGTTAATTAAGTCTGCAGGGTTAGTGAGATCTAATGGAGATAGTTAAGGAGCAAATTACAGCCAAGTGAAAACGAAGACAACTAAATAGACAAGATAACCCAGCAAGATGGGGCATTAAAAAAGTAAGTCAATAAACTCTCTAGTAAAAAAAAAAACATCTAATGATTAGGGAAGATTTAGCACTTTGTGAAACTCTTTGACACTTTCTGAAAATAGAGAAGACTAAAATGAAATAACTTCAGAACATGAGGTATAAAATAAATCTTTATGTATACAGCCATATTTCCTTTCTAGGAGAGCATCACTGAGTACATTATTTCCCTCAGCATCATTTCAGAGACAAAAAACTGCTCTGCCCTGAGGACTAAGAGCACCTTGTTCTCAGCACTTTTGCCTTTTCCATGCAGATGTTGCCTGCTGAAGTAAAGCTATAGCCACTTACCTCATGCATTTTTATTGTTTCTTTGTCGACAGGACAGGTGGGTACTGCATTTAACTCTCTAGAGCATAAGAAGAGTCATATTAACTCACAGAAAATTTGATTTATTTTATGAAATCGGGCTATGCTATAGTCTGACTCTGACATAAGGCATATGATACCAGATATCACAAAAACAAAAAAGTGCTTCAAAAACACTTTAATCTGGCATCAACACAGCCAAATTCTGCACAGAGTTCTAAGAGGGCATTAATCTGAATGTGAATGTGTAACAGAAAAGGGAGTTTGTCCTATGAGTGTTAAATGGCAAAAAGAATAAGATGATTTTAAATTAAGAGGACTTTGTCACTCTCTGGCCATCTGCTGCTCTCAAATGTTGTATCTCAAAAAATCCCATGGTGTATTAAACCCAGCCTTTGCCTAGCAGAAGCAGTGCCCTCCTTGCTACACCAGTGAAAGATCTAATGGCTGCTGTCTTAAAAGGCTTCAAGAAATCTTGTAATAAGGGGCATGAAAGCACTTATTGAGGCAGTACAAAAGGGATGCAACCCAGAGCAAAAGCAGCAAATATGAAGTATCTAAAATTCACAAAAGGTAATTAGCAACATCCATCCACATAAACAGGCTCCTCTGCAGCCTGGCTGGGAGAAATCTTGCCCTCAGGAACAGCAAACAGTACATAATGTATTCCCAGACAGGTCTCTGGGGTAAAGTCATTTGTGGCAGATGATCCCCAAGCAGATGCCAGCAGCCTTGCGATCTGACTGCAGTATCAGGTAATACTAACAACAATTTTATAACTCCACTAAAATCAAAGAAAATTTGCAGAAGAAAGTGAACACAGCTTAATCTAACCACCAGCGCCAATACCGTGACACATTAACGCAACCAAATTCTCTGCAGAGCACAGTGCCAGACAGACAGACTGCAACAGCATCTCACACAGTAGTGCTCCAGCTTACGCCAACAATTTCTTACTGCTGACTTCCCCGTGGTTCATCAGCACTGGGTATGGTCTTTAAATACACCTTTAAAACACTGAGCATGGAGTCATTGAGTTCATTAGTCTTTCCACTGACTCCTTCAGCATCTTACTAGATCAGTAATGTTATTATGGCACTCACTGCTGTTTCAGAGAAGATGCTGAATTGTTTTTTTAGGGAAGGCAATATGGGGAGTTTGTGAACACAGGGGGAGTTTGCACTCACCTCAAAGAAAGAATGCACTGCTGGCAAAATCGGTGCCCGCATCCCGTCTGGTGGGGGTTGTGAAGGACAAGGTGGCAGTAGGCGCACTTGTACCGCTCCTCTAAGGTTTCAACAAACTTGTAGTCGGCATCGGGCTCGAAGTCCAGAGAGATGGTGCTGGCAGAATTCTGGCGTGTGAAGATGCCCGAGAGAGCAGCGGGTTCGTCACAGGCCATGGGAGCTGCACTGGGAACCAGACACGGGGAGAATCTCTTCAAATACTCACTGGCAGCCACGCTGCCTCAGCTACCGCTCGTGGGAGGGCTGGCATCTGCAGAGGGGTGAGACAGATTCCAGAGGGAAACACAGCACCAGGCTATGAAAGAAAAACAAAACGCTCAGAGAACTGCAAAACAATGATTACATGACAAGCATCAAAGCGTACTCCTCTGGAAAAGAGTATCACAATCTGTAAACAGAGAACTTCATGTTTTTTTTTATTATTATTTTCTTGCAGCAGTTCTTAGTCTCAAAAAAACTACAAGAGCCAGTAGTCAGACACGGTTGGTGAAAGCAGAGGCCAAGTCTTTGCCCTAATGTTCACCTGGAAAGTCTACACTTAAGGAAGATTCCACCCACGTGACTTCACAAGTTCCTTGCACTGGTTCAAGCAGGAGGTGGCTTTGTGGTTCACAGCAAGCAGCATACAAAAAAAAAGGCAGCAAGGGGATTTTACCTTCAGTTTAGGTGTTACAGGAGTTGAAGCCTCTTAACTTGACATCATTTTCCTGCTGATCCCTCATTTATAGTAGTAAACTCCCACTTTTCCAAAGTTTTATTAGATTATGTGCAAGTCCTTGGCTATATTAATCCTATCTGAAAGAAGCGGTGGAAAAAAAAGGAAAGAAAAGCAAGATTGCAATCAGAAGTGTGACGTAAGTTTTTCTTTCAACCTACCAAAGTTCATACGTGGCACAGGAATGCAATGTTAATTTTCCAGTAGGAAAAACTGTCAACAGTTTTTTCCAGCCTTAAGACACAAACCTTGAGATCTGTCAGCAGTCCCTTAATCTCACAGTCGTTTTTTGGCAAGTAGTTCAAGACCTAGAGCCACTCTGGTTTGCATTTCTTGCAGCTTTGCACTCAGAAGACGTTTTCCTTACAGGGTGTGTACAAAAGCACAACACACCTGAGCTCTCAGATGGCCTCACAGGAGAAGTGCTCAATTTTATAGCAATGTTATCTCTACTCTGTGTGCACCACCCACCCTGTCAGACACTCAAGTCACTCTTAGTGGCATCAGCAGCTCTTTGAGAGCTCTCTCAGCTCCTATAAGGTCGCTGAGGGTATCTGCTGCTTTCAGAGGGAAGCAGGACCAACACATCACCAACCTTTTGGCTGGCATGAAACAGCATGGCAAGTACAGATACACTGCCCTGCCTCCCTGCTGCAGTGTGCTCCTGGCCCATGGAAGCAGTGATTAGTGCTGTGCTGTGCACAGCTCAGCACTGCCGCCGCAGACCACATCGGGCTTCAGAAAGCAACATCCATTTTCCTTTCTACTTTAACAACCCACATTGGGCAAGGAAATCCTGTGGACAGTTAGTGTACCTGATTGAAAAACAAGCCAAATCACTTAACCGATTAAAATGTATTCCACAGCAAACATTTGAGTGCTCCTGTAACTCAGCACCCTTGTTCATGGTTGTACACAGTATCTCCGTTCCCAGCTTGTGAGAGACTCCCTGTTATCCACCAGGCTAAATGTCTGACATACTCCAGCATAACTGATCACCTAGCATTGACAGCCCTCAGAAATACGAACTTTAATCATATTTCAGGCATAAAGACTTATTATTCCAACTGGAATTTGCAAATTACCCTGTTTGGTCCCTCCACATGAACAGCCTCCTGCTTCAAACCAGAGATGGTTGTCCATTTGCTCCTTTCATTTTTAAACAGTTGACCTTTTCTTCTCTGAAAATGGGGTTCCCAGTTCCCTGACATTTAATAAGGACCAATTCTATTTTCCTCACGTCAACCAGACATGCCAAAACGCAGCTTGGGGGATTACCACCCTCATGCTTGGGCTGCCTCAGTAGCAGATGCCAGCAGCAGAGCATTCCTGCTGCTTCAGAGGCAGATGGAGAGCTGTCACCATCAATTTCCACAGCACAGATTACCTACAAGATGAACTGCCTAAGAATTCATTCTGTTGTTGGTAGGTGAGAACTCTGAAACAAGTTTCCTTTCTTTTTCTTACTAGTGCTCTCTTCCATTTACATGGCATCCACTTTCCTGAGTCCTATTACACTCCATTACTTATATCATCTGATGGCATGGTTTAGCAAGCTAATGCCACACAGTCTAAAAACATACAAAAAAAAAAAAAAAAATCAGTGTTTTATCCATTTTGCTGTTAAGGGTCTTCCTTAACTCCAGAATTTCTTCCAGCTGCAGTGAACAGATGTTTTAGGCAGAAAAGTTATGGGACACATTTAGAAGAAACATAGTCACCAGCCCCAAATCCCATCTAGAAACTCCTTCAGAGCTCTCACTGCTCATTAAATCAACCAAAATCATTCCCATCTCTTTCTGCAAGGAGCACTCTGCTGTGGTACAACACTTTCCAATTCTCTTGTTGAAATGAGAGCCTTTATCTCCTTAACCACTTCCATAATGCACCCAACCTGAAAAATGGAGACTCTCCACGAAAGAACCTCCTCCACCTCAGCCTCACTCAGGACTGCACTGCACAGCCAAGGGCACTTCAGGGCACAGGAAAGAGTATTTGAGGTGAAAGGTGAGCCAGCCTGCTCAGAGGGCAGAACAGAAACATCTGGGTGCCCAGAAGATCAGGGGTGTTTGCCACTGCTGACAGCCTTGCAGAAGGTTTCCTGCAGGGTTTGCAGCTGTTTTGCTGGAGGAAATGGGCTGCCCCAGGAGAGGGCCTGTGGATGGCAATGCTTAGCCCAAGCTGGAGAGGTGCCTCTGTGAATCAGCTGGGGAGAGGAGCTGAGAAACAGCAGCCCTGTGCCAGACCTAGTGCCAGCCAGCGCTCTGCGGGATGTGATCCAAAGCACCACAGGCAGTAAGTAATTCCCGTGCCAGTGCTCACCAGTGACTCAGGCGGGTCGCAGAAGCTCTTCTTCCATTGTTGGCTTCCAGCACCTGGGCTCCCTGAACTGAAACCAAAGGGAAACCGTCAGAGGAAAAAGTGCTTTCTGGTGACAGGGAGAGCACACCAGGGTTATCTGAATCAATTTCCTGCTTACGCTAATGCCTGGCCAGCGTAGGTAGGGGATGGGGGATGCTTTCACTTCTGCCTGCTCACAGCTAACAGCAAGGGAAAGGTGTCTTGTCTTTGTGTACTCTCAGATTTTTCAGCACATGTGTGAACTGTAATGCTGTTTTAAAATAGCAGAGAGAGGTGGGTTTATGCTGTGCAATTATGCTCTTGTGGCAGGCACACAGTGCATGCAGTAAAGGGATTTTCACTGCACCTCCACTGCAAAAGCGCACACACAAACCACCCCCCCACCCCCCCACCCCAGTCTATGGAGACTGAAAACTGACACATTAAAAAAACTGGATTTCCATATACTAAAATAAATAGAATTCATTCTGGCCACATATAAAAAAAATGGAGTATGACTCACTAGAAGCTAAGCCCAAGTCCTATTAACAGCTACCAGTGAGTGGGAGCTCAATGGCAGTACAGTACAAAGAGCTCCCAGCTGCACCTTCCTACCACTTCAGCATCCCAGCCCTGCCTGCACCAATAGCTGCACAAGCAAAATGTTTCTAGAACAACTCTTTATACACAGATGCTTTAACTTCACTGGAAATAATCCAAGGGGGAGAATTTTCATAACAAAAATAAACTTTAGTAAATGTGGGCTATCCTATTTTAACTACCACCACACCAAACTGAGCCCAAACATTTTCCTTTTAAATACTCCTCACTTAGTATTTCTAACTGTTCAGAAACCGAGCAAGACATGAGTAGAACATAATGATGAGGAGAAAAATCAGTATGGGTATGACTTACTAGAATGTAAAATGGCATTAACATTCTAAAGCCATGTTCAAACAGCTCCCCTCCAGCAGTGATGCTGCCTATTTATGGCACCAGGAGTGAGAACGGACAAAGGCCATATGCAAACCTGATGCCACATTAAACTACTGTGAACAGATTAACTTCTTTTAGCCAGAAAAACATACTTTCTGCACACAGATAAAACATAAAATGTGGGTGCTCTTTTTAAAGAGAATATTTTTCTCCTGCTTCCTCTCACATGAAGCCAATCCCCCCTGAAAGGTCAGCACATATGAGCTATGAGTGCACCACTACAGCAGGCTGCAGCACCACTACTTCCAGGACAGCAGACCTGAGGCACAGACACTGGGTGCCAACCATGTCTTTCAGACTGAGAAGGACAAACATCTGCGTTGTTATCAGAGATCTGGTCACCATGCACAGACAAGAAGACAGGATCCTTGGTCCTGCTGCCCAGCAAATGGGGTCTGAGAGCACGGCTTCTGCCACGTTCACTGCACGAGGGGAAGGCAATGCTCAGCTACCCTCCAGGATTGGGGTATTGCTCAATAAAAAGCACTGTAATTACTTCCTCACTTACCATACTTCCATGAAATACAACAAGGAATAGAAAACAAAGTTATACACTATCTTCCTATAGCTCTACTTCAGCTCTATTGCTTTGCCCAAAGGCCCCTGGTAGGGACAAGTCTTAGAAGATGCCCCATCCCTCTCTCTCAAATCATCTACCTTTTATGGTACATCAGAACTGGAAACCTGTCTTAGTCACAGTGGGAAATGTTGGCCAAATTTAGAGGTCTAAGATCAAGTCACTTCACTGGGAAATGACAGGCAGAAACATGATGGAGGGGAACATACCTTGCATTAAAATGACCCTCTCCAAGCTGCCTTATAAACTAGGTAGATTAGCTGCCTAATTTTTTAATTAAAATAACAAAGTTATATGATTTACTATTTACTACAGTGCTTTCCTCAAAAACACTGTATTTTGGGGAGAAGAAATATATGCCTCAACTCTTAACATACAGAGCAGAAGAGGTAACAGAGTCTGCTAAAGAATGACTAAAAATATCTATACAATTTGAGATACATATTTAAGATATAGCAAATTATATGGAGTCACGTGAAAACAGCAGATTATGACATCTGACATCACTGAGGGATCATCCTTGTCCCTTCCAACACAAGAAGAGTTACAACATTTCGACTGCTGACAACAAAACACATTTGCAGAGTCCCCATGGGGGAGAAGAACCCCAACTGCATCATGTGTGTCACCCCAGCCCAGAGACTGCGGAGGGAAAGGATCCCCTACTGCAACAACACAGACCCACTGCTGATACTCAGGGCTCACTCCCACTTCACCTGGCACCAAGTCAGCCTCAGGAGCTGCTCTCCTGTTGTCCTAATCACTTCAAAACTGCAGTGCAGTGACCAGCTGGCACCCAGGAGAGAATATTTCTAACAGCAACAATTTCCAATTGGATATGTGCCTGAGCACTTACAGGGGATGTTGCTGCAGAGGACAGCAGAACAAATGTTTTCTTTTGGATATAGACAACACCATCCTATTCAAATTCAAGTTATTACCTTATTGCCAAGGCACAGTAAAATCTTACTAAGCAAGCATCAGTTTGCTAATCTCTATAGGCAAATTTTCACTAAGCAGAGTAAGACAGTAGGGTTTCCTTTGCATAGAGGTACAGTCAAGCATTACAATGAATTCCCATAAAACTAAACTTCAAGAGGTTTTTAAGACATAGATTACAACACAGATAGCATTAAAAAAAATTAAAAAATACACTCTTACGACCAATGAAGTCTGTCTGGTGCTGAAGCAGCTGTGATTTTATAACCAGTTTATTTATTTGCTACATCTACTGTTTTCCCTGGATGTTCTAAAAATAATGAATTAATTTTGCATTATCAAGAAATCAAAGTCTAATCAACATGATATTGTTACAGTAACACAGAGAACTTTTGCTTTAAAACAATCACACAGCTGGAAAATAATTTTGTTCCCATCCCTTCTGTAGCAATCCCTGGCTTGCACCTTCCCAAGCACCAACAGAAATTTCAGTAACAAGGCTCTGCCACTCACCTCTATGACACTGGCACTGCCTTGCTGGTTCAGGGGTGAACTCAGTTCCTGAGATGTTTTGGGGTCTGCAGCCCTCCTACAACGCAGCCCTGTGCCACTCACACCCCTTGTGCCACAGTGTATCCCTGAAGAGCCCTTCAGAAATGAGAAATAATTCTAGCAACGTTAAGCTCCTGCCAGCATTAACAAGATACATTTTGGTAAAGCCCTACCTGGAAATGGTAGCTGGTCCTCAATGGGGAGAAAATGAAAGAGAGAGAGAGAGAGAGAGTGTGCACCAGCGTAAGCTTTGTGGTTAACACAACAGTATGAGCATTTTAAAACAGCAAGGGAGTGGAAATCCCCCAGAGTACCTTTGAAAAAGATCACGTATAAAAATGTTTTAGAAGTGTTAGGATAAAAGGCAAGCCATTGAAAAGTATTTTGCCTTTCTGAAATGACAACAGGACTGCAGATTTTACCATCTGGAGCAACACAAGGTTACCAAGGATGTTTCTCACAGTTTTTATCCATGATACAGAATATTTTTCACCTTTCACAAAAGTAGTTATTGATGTGATCAAAGAAAAAGTACATGGCCAGCAGGAAACACATAAGGACATATGGAAAACCCAGGTCCAACCCTGTGAATCCCTCCACAGCAGCCTTGGCAAGCCCGAGTGAACCCACTCGCTGCAGGAAGTGAAGCGACAGCTTATGGAGGAAACGGCACTGGCTCAGTCATATCAGCTCGTGCTACAGGCTGCACAGGCATTTCACATTTAAACAGAACCCTCAAACTGAAATAAAATCCATTTTAAGCAAATAAACATTTATATTTGGGTTTGCAATAATTTAAGTGACCGTAAATCCTCATGATTTTGTAGGCAGAACTTAATCATGCACGCAGGATTCTTGGCAGCCTTCATCTCCACTGACTCTGCATCAGCTTCCCTTGCCAGCCCAAAACATGCTGCCCTTGCAGCAGTGCCAGTGATTCCATCTCTTCCCCCACTCTTTCTTTATCCTTCTTTGCCCCCTTCCCTTGCTTTCTGGTCTCTTGGCTTTTTTTTCTTCATCCCCTAAAATAAAGTATCTTATTTTCTATAAAAGCAATAAATTTTAAGTATCTTGTTATTTAAAATACTAATTTTCCAAAGAAAGCTTCTATCTTGTAGTAAATGCAACATTTACCCTCGTTAGCCTTTCCCCTTTAAATAAGCTTGCTCCCAGAGCATTTCTAACCTATTTCAATTTCCATCTGCCCTCCCAGGAGGTATCTCAGCCTACGGCATGTTTTCATGAACCTTCCCTGAAGCTCTGGAACAGACTAGTCATTCCATCATGACTAGTGGGAAAAGGAAAGGCATGAAGTTTCAGGCATGCTGCTTCGTTAGGGGATCAATTAAATTGATCCAAGATGCATTTCCAAGAGCAGCCTAAGCTCACTTCTACAGTCAAGCTTTTTGTACCAGGTATCTTTTCATCCTTGCCATGAACCTGTCCTCAAAGTGTTTCCTGGTCAAGCTGTAGATTGTACACCAGCTTAGACCAGGTTGACATCAGAACAGCACAAAAGATGGTACATGGACTTTC